TCTTGAGGTGGGAGGAAACCGGAGTACCTGGAGCAAACCCACGTAGTCGGGCAGGTGACCCCATACCTTTTCACGTTACCACTATATATACGCCACTCGACTACCCACACAAATCTTTCTAAGACCTTTGATATAGTAAACCATCCTTTACACTTTCACTAGCTTAGATATTTTTTGTATTAATTGAACATTCACACCTTTATCGGGATTCTGTTATCAGGTGCGCAGCTGGACTGTAACCGATGTGCATGCAAATTAAACCACCCCTAGCTACCCGGCAACAATTGATACACATGTGATATCTATAGAAACTCGACCTCGTGCTATCTAGGGACTTTTGCTAGCGATAGTTAAGTGTTGGTATTTAGTTACTTATTCTTGCTTCAGAATTTCTGAATAGCTTAAAAGGATTATATATATATAAAAAAAAAAAAAAAAAAAAAAAAAAAAAAAAAAAAAAAAGTACAATTATATAACAAACACTGGTAAATTACATAGAACAGTAACATACCAAATTACAAAATTGTTCCAAATACCTAACTAACTGTTACAATAAAATATTTTAAAGCTTTTAATTTAAACAAGAACTTTTGAGAATTATGGATACATGTGCAACTGCTTAATTATTTGGCAGGACAGCTTAATTTAAACATATGTTATTGCCATACAAAAGTACAAATGGATTGGGCACAAGTTATAACAACATTATAGACACCCTCTCCAATCATCATATATATACCATATGACTTTAATTTAACAAGAAGGCCTTTTTACCAAACCCTATCAAAGGCCTTCGATATAACACAAAACACCAGACATGCACGTTTCTTATCATCTAAGGCTAAACAAACTTTTATACGGGCAAGTTTCCAAATGAGCTTTAGGATACACTCCACTAGTAAGTGAAAGATTAAAACGTAACATTGAAGGTTTACAAACAGTATCCGCAGTGTATCGGAGCATATGCTGACTAATACCGTCATTTCCTGAAGCTTTACCAAGTTTCAATACACGTAAAATATCTTTTATCTCTGAGTGTTCCACTGTATAATAGCTAGTATGCAGACGACTCTCTGTCCTGTAAATAAAACATAACTAGGTATTTAACATATTAGATTTTTCAACGTCCTCCGTTACAATAGTTCCTGCTATAGGATGTATGATAAATTGAACTACTTGAGACCTTATATACAGGACAGGTACGCAATTGGCTACCAGGTATATAAGGTCAGAAACCGTTGAAGTCAAGTCTGGAGTGCCCAATGGCTTGGTCATCGGGCCCTGTCTCTTTTAAATTTAAAAGTTACTGTTAGGCTGTTTTAATGTCGGATGACACAATTGCACAGGTACTCAGATAGCCTCGTCTGTCAGACAAGGCTACTATTGTAAACATAACAATAAGCTCCGAATCAAACTTAAAACATTAAGGCGACTAGATCTTGATATTAAAGTCGGCACAGAAGGGGAAGTGGGATATGTCCTTTCATCCTGACAAATGTAGTATACTCTCTATCATAAACATCTCCTCCTTCAAGTTTTAATTCTGTTCCTTTCCTTTTCAAGCCACAACCATATATGACAAATTAAAATCTTCAACCAGTTGAAGTAGGTCATTATCTGGTAGAAGTGGAAGAAACATATTGTCCACTATATCTATTCCCACTTCGTGGTAAACAACTTCCAGCATACTACCGAAACGACATATCTAGGGGTATGTACACTACCGAAACGACATATCTAGGGGTATGTACACTACCGAAACGACATATCTAGGGGTATGTACACTACCGAAACGACATATCTAGGGGTATGTACACTACCGAAACGAAATATCTAGGGGTATGTTCACTACCGAAACAACATATCTAGGGGTATGTACACTACCGAAACGATATATCTAGGGGTATGTACCCTACCGTAACGGCATATCTAGGGGTATGTACACTACCGAAACGACATATCTAGGGGTATGTACACTACCAGAACGACATATCTAGGGATATGTACACTATACTACCGAAACGACATATATAGGGGTATGTACACTACCGAAACGACATATCTAGGGGTATGTACACTACCGAAACGACATATCTAGGGGTATGTACACTACCAAAACGACATATCTAGGGGTATATACACTACCGAAACGACATATCTTGGGGTATGTACACTACCGAAACGACATATCTAGGGATATGTACACTATACTACCGAAACGACATATATAGGCGTATGTACACTACCGAAACGACATATATAGGGGTATGTACACTACCGAAACGCCATATCTAGGGGTATGGACACTACCAGAACGACATATCTAGGGATACGTACACTATACTACCGAAACGACATATATAGGCGTATGTACACTACCGAAACGACATATATAGGGGCATGTACACTACCGAAACGACATATCTAGGGGAATGTACACTACCAGAACGACATATCTAGGGATACGTACACTATACTACCGAAACGACATATCTAGGGGTATGTACACTACCAAAACGACATATCTAGGGGTATATACACTACCGAAACGACATATCTAGGGGTATGTACACTATACTACCGAAACGACATATGACACTACCGAAACGAAATATCTAGGGGTATGTACACTATACTACCGAAACGACATATCTAAGGGTATGTTCACTATACATGAAACGAAATAGCTAGGGGTAACTAGGGGTATGTACACTACCGAAACGACATATCTAGGGGTATGTTCACTACCGAAACGACATATCTAGGGGTATGTACACTATACCGAAACGACATATCTAGGGGTATGTACACTATACCGAAACGACATATCTAGGGGTATGTACACTATACCGAAACGACATATCTAGGGGTATGTACACTATACCGAAACGACATATCTAGGGGTATGTACACTACCAAAACGACATATCTAGGGGTATATACACTACCGAAACGACATATCTAGGGGTATGTCCACTATACTACCGAAACGACATATCTAGGGGTATGTACACTACCAAAACGACATATCTAGGGGTATGTACACTATACTACCGAAACGACATATCAAGGGGTATGTTCACTATACATGAAACGAAATATCTAGGGGTGTCTAGGGGTATGTACCCTACCGAAACGACATATCTAGGGGTATGTACACTATACCGAAACGACATATCTAGGGGTATGTACACTATACTACCGAAACGACATATCAAGGGGTATGTTCACTATACATGAAACGAAATATCTAGGGGTGTCTAGGGGTATGTACCCTACCGAAACGACATATCTAGGGGTATGTACACTACCAAAACGACATATCTAGGGGTATGTACACTATACTACCGAAACGACATATCTAAGGGTATGTTCACTATACATGAAACGAAATATCTAGGGGTGTCTAGGGGTATGTACCCTACCGAAACGACATATCTAGGGGTATGTACACTATACCGAAACGACATATCTAGGGGTATGTACACTATACCGAAACGACATATCTAGGGGTATGTACACTACCAAAACGACATATCTAGGGGTATGTACACTATACTACCGAAACGACATATCTAAGGGTATGTTCACTATACATGAAACGAAATATCTAGGGGTATCTAGGGGTATGTACACTACCGAAACGACATATCTAGAGGTATGTACACTACCGAAACGACATATCTAGGGGTATGTACACTATACCGAAACGACATATCTAGGGGTATGTACACTATACCGAAACGACATATCTAGGGGTATGTACACTACCGAAACGAAATATCTAGGGGTATGTACACTATACTACCGAAACGACATATCTAGGGGTATGTACACTATACTACTGAAACGACATATCTAGGGGTATGTACACTATACATGAAACGAAATATCTATAGGGATATTTACAGTAACATGTACCTACATCAGGGACGTTATATCATGAACTGTATTTAATATATACGTCTCTGCCTATGTGTATAAAAATCAAGAGGGGAAACGTTTAATCCCAAAGCAACATTCATCATTATTAAATTTTCCTTTAAAAAGGAACGTCATAATTGGATCTAAAAGACTAGACACTTTCCTTTCGTCAAGTCTATTTTGGTGTATGTCTATGATTTAGTTATACGTTTTTGATCAGACCTGCAATTTTTATGTAGGTTTGAATGGTAGAGATACTGACTGTTTCGAAAAGTGATTTGAGATCTATAGCTATAACTTTCCGCTCTATAATTGTTAGCTAATTTAAGCCACAGGGACCTGCAGTAGCATTTGTTACAGCTATATTTGGACCAAAACTAAGGCGTTCACAGTAAATGATCATTGGGGTGTCATTTTTACCGAAAGTCGATCCAAACTCCTAAAACATGTAAAATTACTCTGAACGCCTTAGTTTAGGCACGGAATTAGATTATCTAAGTCCGTGGTTTAGGTTAAAATATAGCTGTAACAAATCATCAGGTCCCTGTGATTTAAGCTTTATAGGTCAATAATCTCATAATAATAAATGTTTTACTTTTTTATTATATTATATTATTTCAAGTAAAAAGCATATATAGTAGGACTATCAAAGTTTGTATGAATATCACATACCATAACACGTAACATTTTGGAGGTACAAACAGTGAATGATAATCTTGAACTGGAAATCTTTTATCTAGGATGGGCCATGAAAGTTTTTTTTTATTTTTTTAATTTCCAATGGGGTCCTCAGAGACGTATAAAGCCATATATACGTCTCTGGGGTCCTTTACTATAACATATTACAAATAATTTTAAGAAGTTTCAACACGGTTTCAATAAGATATTATAACATTATATTCTAAAATTAATATAACGCATTGCGATGATAATAACTCAAAATAAACGATGCTTGAACTATAGCAAGGCTAACAAATGTAATGGGTATCCTAGTCGTTACGATGTTTGTTTCTCGTGATCAGCCGTTTAAAGCATACATCACACTACGATTTCAAAAGTTTGGCGCGGGTTTTGCACACGGTGCTAAAATGCAAAGATCAGCAATACACATTTCACAACAACAGCGTCAAGCATGGCGGACGGCGGCCGGGACCTTCCCTTCAAGTCAGAATATGCAAAGAGTGGCCGATCTTCGTGTAAAGCATGTTCACTTTCGATTTCCAAGGATTCTTTGCGTTTGGCTATTATGGTTCAGGTGATTATATTATTAACAAATGACATCATGTAGATAGACTTAAAAACTCGTGCTATTTTAGCGGCTCGGTCTTGCACATCCAAAACATTTAAGCTTTACTGTACGTCCTCTGTTTTTTGGCTTTTGAGTGGACATTTGGTGATTTGTACATACATCATAATCACCACTGCAAATAAACCGAAGCAAAGGCTAGCACTTGTGTTCTTTATAGCGGAAAAGATCATTGTAAGCTTGATGCAGTTTTGAAGGTATCCGATCTGAGAGGTGACTGTTTACCCAGCAGCCGGTGATTGGCCAATACTAAAAAGTGATATTTTCACACTTTTGATATTTGTCACAGTGTGAAAGATATCAGTTTTATCAAGTTGATAGAATCCGACATTTCACTGGCAAAAATGTAATAAATATGTATCTCAAGTCTCAACAATTGCATTCAACTTTACATTGTCTCCATACACATAGTTTGTCCTCATACATTAATAAGTAATTGAGAATATTTCATCATGTTTTTAAATATTTAAGTGTCCGAAATTATACTAGTGACAATGCCTGCAGACTATCCAACTCCCCATCCAAAACAATATTTTAGGTACTGGACTGCTAGGCAAATATAACCAAATGGTTGCAAATTGTACATGAACGTATACAGGGTAAAAGAAAGATAGTCATTTGTCGATTTCTGGGATTGGATTGCAAAAATGGTAGCAGCATGTGTATAATGTAATCTAAGTTGTTTTTTGTCTCTTTTCAGTCACCTATGTTCGATGGAAAGGTATGTATTACTGTCATGAGTTGTACAAAAGTATTAAGTAAAGCATTTACAAAAAAAGAAAAGAATATAAGCATACAACAAGTAGTCAGATATTGTATATTGTGCACACAGACCCAATTCTGACAGCCGGTTAATTAAGGTTTATTTCACCTAATTTCTTGTTGATCTTGTATATTTTAAGTTTGAAAAAGTGTAAAAAAAATGTATATTAAACAATGATATTTTAAAATTAGCCAAAACATAATACACTTAAATCATGAAATGTAGCTATAACAATTGGGAAAGTAGGGAAATGTTTTTTCTGGCCTTATCAAATAAAACCTTGATTATACAAAAAGTAATAATATTGTACATTGTGCAGTACTACTATTCTAGGTTACACAACGTTTCACCCTATCCTTTACTTTTAAAAGTGACAGTCTGTCTTAATTATATATAAACATATGTCTTAATTATAGATAAACATGTATGTTTCATGTTGTAGATTCCAAATTGGTTCCACTTTGCCTGCTTTTGGAAACGTGCCAGAGTGGAAGATGCTAACCACATCCATGGATTCGATGCCCTACGCTGGGAAGATCAAGAAAAGATAAAAGAGAAAGTTGCAGGTCTGTTTATTATGCTTGTATACCAGACCAAACCAGCAGTATACAATATCATTTATGGAGTACTACCCTGCAGATTTTAAATATTCTATACTAGCCCAACCCATAATCCATAGTTTATTGAAATTTTTCATCGGCACTGACAGCAAATTTTCTTGTACTGGCATGGGTTTTAGCAAAGTAGAAGAAAGAATGGTTGTTCGGGTAGAACTATCTGTTGTAATGTCAAGTTGTCCATCAAAAAGTGTGTTTTAGGGCAGAACTGTTGATCGTTTATGCTTTGTCGTACATATTAATACCACATACGATTGTAAATGGGACATACTGACAACACTTGTGACCCTTTGACATGGTTTTAATATTATGTGTAGTGAGGGCAACAAAGATTTTTGAAATGATGATAAGCTTTGAATAGTATGTCTGTTTGACAGAAATGATATACTATTATGCAATGTACAATAATTGATGTTCAGCAGGAGGAGGAGGAGGCGGTGGTGGTGGAGGAGATGCCGGAGGTGCCACATCGGGTGATTATGAAACAGAGTATGCAAAGTCTGGTCGCAGTGGCTGTAGAGGGTGTGGCGACAACATAGCAAAGGTAATAAGTAACCTGGTTGCAGTGTTATATTATGCTTCTGATCAAACTTGTACAATATTCTTACCACAAAGTCAGTAAGCTCTGCAACACACTTAAAAACTGACAAAACATGTTTTTGAGGATCATAATCCATCAACAAGCATTTAATTTCTCAAAAAGTTCAGTGTTGGGATTTAAACGGAGTTTTACAATCAGTTATTTATTACCATTAACTAACCAATGATTGAGTAATAAGCATTTTATACATCCTGAAAGCAAGCATGTTCAATCCTATTGTTTACTCAATAAAATATGATAAAATCAAAGCAAGCATACCGTTGTCCGGGGCAGATCCAGAATTTTTGTAAGGGGGGTGTCACCATTCTAGATTTTAATACTTTAGCAGCGCATGTACATTATATTACTTGTTACACAATTAACTTTAATGTCAGTGTCTTGTCCAGCAGGTCAGTAATTACCAGTACTTTTATATATTATCATGAAATTCCAACCAATGATATTTATTTTGACAAAGTATAATTAATTTTGAAATAAATGATTTATTTTTATAGTTTGATTTTAAAAAATTCCTATGGTTATGGAATTTACCAGACCTAGCTACAAGTTATCATTAAGTAAACAAATAGTGATTTCTTTTATCAGAACAATGCTGTTCTCAATATAAACTGATGTATAATGAAACCAATTAAATTATTGTTATTATCCAGTAAAATTAATAACTTACTGCTACTGTCAAATTGGGAATACCATGTGCTATTTATAATGTTGGCACCAAAAAGATTAACGCTCCTCATCCATGTTTCACAAGCTATTGCATCACAGATTACATAAGATTATTCAGATTATCAAAACAACATTGCCGCCACTTGCAGTCTGCTCACTAATGGTCAATCTTACTGTAGCAAAAATTATGTAAAGTTCTCAAAAAATTGTGTAGACACTGGATTGTTGATAAAGGCTTCTCGCATAGCTTTCTTATTCAAGCATTAAAATTTGATGGCCAAAAACTGTTAGCAAAGGTAGGTTAGCAGACATTTGCCATTTTTCTCTGAATACAAAGCTACTGTGTTTATATTTCTTATTTTGGTGTAATTGTCGGTCACCAATGAAAATAAAAATGTAGATTGAAGCCTAGATAATAAAAAGACATCACTAATTATAATTGCATGCATAACACACTGGTAATTGTGGTCTATTCGTCACGTTTCACACCTATAGGTAGTTTACTTCCCCACAGGAAAATCTACACGCAGGGCAGAGTTCGTTGATCAGGGTGTTGATCCTATGGAACAATAAAAAGCTAGTCTAATTAGGATTAGGGTGAGTCTAATTGGAGAGGGGAGAAGAGGTTATCCATTTGTGATCCAACTTGATGTTCCAGTCATATTTGTGATATACCTCTCCAAGAGTAACGGTCAAATTCATGCATAAGCTTATGGTCAAATGTTGATGTCATGCACAAGTGGCTTCAGTGCACACACCAAACGGTGCTAGGGGGTGTCATACGATCAACGCGGTCTTATATTTCACACTAAAAATGAATTCTTGTCACGGATAGGGGGAGGTCGCGTGCGCCGG